CGCCCGAGCGCTATTTCCCTGCACTAATTGAACCGTACAAAAGCGGTATGAGTATCCTCGTCGAATTCATGCAGTATACAAATATACATGGATTGGCGTCATCCATGTCTAATGACAGTTCGAATACAACATATGCACATGCGTTTATCCAAACTTAAGTGTGGTCTGTCACAAACTTGATAGAGACACATTAGACCTCATGATCAATGGTACGAAAAACGTGTATGAGTTTCGTTTGGAGGTCAGGCTAACAACCACTTTCGCAGGTATGAGAATTAGTACCCAATACGAACTGTGGATTTTCAACGTTTAGAGGTGACAGCCTTAAATCTTGGGCATCCATATTTGAAGGAACCCGATATAGCAATAGTGAAGCAACTGCTAGGTAGAATGATAAGTAAACTAGTGGTACAGTAAAATGGTGTGCACTTAGGTGTTGCCGTGTGTATGTACAGTTTGTTTTGCGTAGCTGATGGGAGAGATCGCACAGCATGCGAACGCGATGGAGTGTCCACTTCTGAGTCTCCGTGTCGCCCATCGATCCGGTTATCTGCTGCCCGAGGTACGTGCATATTCTCAAAGAACGATTGATGCGCAACCTTTGCTATTGACACGTGACATCAACTAAGTCCCGCTGCCCACTGTCAAACATGCGACTTTCCAAACAGTGTTCGCATTGTTTTGCAAATGTCCAAGTACCCAACCGATGTGTACTCTGCTGTGACCAAAAGCTATTTGATAAAGATCTGCACCCTACGTCTCGGGTGCAGCCATTTGGTGCTCATAAAACGATTGTCGCTATGCGCCGATTCCTTTCCGATGTAATATATTAATGCACTGACGTGCCGTTCCCGTTGGATCCAACATTTTACTTAGTCTATCCAACAGATTGGCCATGCGCAATGTAACTTCTGGTAGGCGTCTCTGCGCTTCCGCCTTCCATCCGCTTAGTAAGTGCGTTTTCATATGCTCCGGTAAATTCAGTATGGATGATGAACAACTGGAACTATAAATATGCGCACTCCAATCACTAACACGCGGAGCAGAACATGAACTGTCGACATCGTGATAATCGCTAGTCGGTTAATTGTCGGGATTGTTCACTTGCCACAGAATTTCCAGGGAAATTTCTCTTCGAATGCATAGCCTATTGTTGAGCATTGTGTTCAAAATGTCAAACTTTACACCATATGCATACTCTAAACGACCAAGTGCTGGCAACCTTTTGATTCATGCGTATCCATCGAACTGGAGACATCCTCAATAATTTGCCACCCAAGCATTGATCCGTATCAACCACACAATTCGCTCTTAAACATCGCGCGCACGTCAAATATGAATGTGCTCACGGATGGACTGAACCATTATTCTGCGATGCACCGGCTCTCTAAGCGTCGTGCTAGTTAGCTAGGTTCATGTAATCTACAAATCGATTTCAAGGAGCAGAATATAGATAGAATAGTCTGATGAGTAATACCATGGAGCTTACATAGTGATGTGAATCGCGGCCGAATAATAATACGAAGAGAAAGATGCCGTAGCTCACCGTCACAGATTGTCACCATGCTAGACTACACTTGAGAAGGTAGCAAGAATAGCATAGGTCATGATGATTTCAACATTGTAAGTGGCAACATTTGAAATCATCGCGATATACAACCGAGTTAAGTAGGCCCAATAGAGGTAAGTTAGATGTGGCTTATCCGATCTAGGCAGGTGCAATAAAGATACTACTACATTGCACCAAGTCAGTAGTAATTCATTGCAGAATGAAAGTGTACCCCAGCACGACTGACATGCGGGATATAGAATAAGGAAGAACACAACGAAAATGACAGTGATAGAGTAAGCTACTTTTCAAGTTAGCCGGGAAATGGTTCGATTAAGTCTATTTCTATTCATACGCTCAGCTAAGTTAAAGTCCGCGGTGAGAGAACGAACGGGATGTATATATATACTCACTTTAACAAGGAAGCAGAAGCAAAATGGAACAGTGATGACTAACCGTTGGTGTGTGCTGTGTATGCCATTTATATTATTCACTGCAGGCGATATATATATATATATATATATATATATATATATATATACGCTTTGAGAAGAGTTCTGTGACGACGATGCAGCCATCTTCTCATCTCAGAAGACTTCAGTGTTCACGGTCTGGATGTTCCGGTACCCCCCAGTGAGCAATTCAAGGTCGATATGCAAGAGCTTATTGCAAGAAGTTATTGCTATCCATGCTTGATTTAGAGCTTATAATTGAGAAGCTAGAGTGACCACGTAACAATGCTTCACGACTACGTACTATGCAGAGTATCCATAAGAACACATTCAATCACACATTACGTGTACCAGCGGAGAAACCATGTTGGAGTTTTCGGATGACTGTGCCATTGATAGTGCCCGAATGGAGTTTACTGGTAAGTTCAGTGTTATGTTAACATCCGCATTAGAAGACAGGCCCCTTCGTTCTAGAACAACTTCATTCATTCAGAACAGAGCCAGAAAACGCATTGCTGTAAGAGACGCAGCGTGACGTGTGTACAGCGCAAACCCCACTACTGACAACTGGAGCCACTGTGTAGTGCAGCGTAATCACTGTGCCACACTTGTCCATTAGGCAAAATTAGCACACCAACAGAGCCTAGCGAAAAGGTTTTGTGTTAATACGAAACTCCCGTACAAAAAGGTGAACAGCCTCCGGAAAGTGAAACGTGATGTCCCTTCACTCATCTCAGCAAACGGATGTGATGTAGCCAACACTCTACGGGTTCAGTATTCCGACGTGCCACCAGTCCCATTCTCCCAAACTCCACTATCTGTACACTTCACTTTTAGCTCAGCGACTGTTTTAAGGAAGCTGCTATTGTTGTGCACCCCTAGTTCCCCCGCAGTTGCCGAAAGCACTGAAGGTGGCAGCTGCGAGGATAGTCGATCCATTGACCCAATTCTTTCCAACATGCTTGGAGGAATAGCAGATTCCTAGTGTGAAATCAGGGTATCATTACCCTGATTTTTATGGGTGATAGCCTTTCGTAACCCGCCAACTATCGCTCAGTGATTCTCCCCCCAGTGCTCTCAGAGGTGATGGAAGCGAGTATCGCTGAGGCACTAAAGGGATATTTAGTAAGATCTAACATGACACCTGAACAACTTGGCTTTCTTTAGAATCTATGTATTACTAACCTACTGATTGCGAATTGCAAGTAGACCGAAACAGCGGATAGTGATTTTATTTTTGCAACAGTCTACGAATAGACACAGCCATCAGAAACCATGGGACTCAAAATAAGGTACAAAAATAGTGAAAGAAAACACATCAAAGTCCATGGATAGTGAGACCGGAACCGGTGCCATCTATCTTAGCTTAGACTTCTTAGATTACCAATACCTCTCCTACAGCTACAGGCATATGGAATTGGGAATCCTGTCTTTGGATGGATCGGAAATCTTCTTCAGCGGCGGCTTCAAGTTCGGGTTAGGGGTAGACTACGGTGTTCCACTAGTATCAATGTTGGGGCCACGAATATTCTTGGTCTTCATTAAGGACCTCGCGCGTATCGTCGAGTCGAATTTGTTGTTTTTTGCCGATGACATCAAGATATGGTTGGCGATTGGTTGTCAGGAAGATCATGATCTGCAACGGGAGCTGAACCGTGCCTTTGAATGGTCAGAGGCAAATCTATTTCCGTCCAACGCGGACAAGTAGAAAATTGTACATGTACGCCACAAGACCACATCCTGAAGACCGCATCACAGGGGCGCGACCTTGTGGTGATGATTCAAGACGACTTTGGCTGTTCGGCACAGTCCTTAAAAGCGTTCAAAACCGCGAACCAACATGTTGGTCTCTTACGGAGGGCGTTTCAACCCTTTCATCATCTCGCAAACGCTCAACGCGGATGTGAGGGCCCATGTAGAGCACGCGATCCAGGCCTGACAAACCTGGCTAAAACGCGACCTGGCTGCATTGGAGACCCAACAGCGAAGGGAAACCAACAATGTTGAGGGCTTTTTCCACCTTTACTACCAGATGCGACTGAGAGCTTTACGAGTGTACAGCAGAAGTTATCGCCGTCGACGGGGTTACCTCATTCTAGTCACGCTTGCAGCGACATCCGTAAACTTGGTCGCAACCCAAAACTGAGGGACCACTAGCTGAAACAGGCCACTCAAAACAGTTGGCTGGAATGTTACCGGAATTAATTTTATCTTCGAATTTGTCGGCCGTGAAACGCTCTTCCAACTCTTAATATTACTGCACCCTGCGTTACACCATTTGCATTATGTGATCAGAACTCCGCTCATTGAGTGACTCAAAACATGGACAAACATTGTACTCACCAGCCACCGCGAAATCGGGACGGACGGATATACATGTGTATTAACGTATATACTATGGTGAGCGTCTCACTTTACTGTCACCTTTCTGAACTTATGTAATACGCACAAACCATCTCACGGGACATGTCAAGTCTGTTTATTTTACCCGTTTTACAAACTTTGTTTCATAAAACGTGGCACTAGCAGCGCTTCGCAGATTTTAGTGAACACGAATGATCGTCTTGTCAACCTTCAACAAACTGGCCGCATCATTTTGACTCCAAACTCTACCTCTTTCCATTAGGCTGATGTCTCGTTCTCGACAAGCATTCTCCAAATCTACGACCGATGAACCTCGTCGAATAAGTTTTCTGCCTTTTCTTTCTCTGTTGCAATGACCTTACACAGTCATCAGGGATTCGCTCATAATTTTCACTTTGGTTTAAGTGAAGTTCTCTTCGACATTTTGCCCCGATTTCTTTTCTGTTTTCTAATGTAAACTAACGCGTTTATTTGCTCCTGTTTGGGTTATAATCGGAAAGAGAACATTCCTCTTCTCATGTTGTCGCTAGATATACAGCCATTTGTCTCAATATTGCGGTAAAAATTTCTTTTTTCTATCTGTTGATCATTTGTTTGTTACTCCAACTATTACGATTACCGGTTTTCCTCGGCAGGCTTCCGGGTGCTAACCTGTGCATTTTGCAACAAAGTATTCACGAAAAACTGTAACTTGAATCTCCACATCAGAGCGGTTCACAAAGGTTTGTCCACATTGTTGTTCCATTCTTTGAATTCTGCTTCATACTGCGTTAAAAATAGATATCCTTTTAACCTTTTTCACTCCTCCTTTAGGTGTCAAGCCATTCGAGTGCACCATGTGCTACAAGGGCTTTTCTCGGAACTCCGATTTACATAAACATGTTGATGCGGTGCACAAAGGACTAAAACCCTTCGGATGTCACGTCTGTCGTCGAAATTTTTCGCAGAAATCGAGCCTCAAGCGACATATTGAGGCCATTCACGAGGGCACATGATATGCGTTGCGCAAACGATTCCCTTCTGCTGTTAAGCATTCAACCTTTCAGGTGTGTTACTTCACAAAATTCGGGCGCTGTTGCTAGCAAGCTGTGATCCACCGTGTTTTCTGCCGCCATCGCTCTACGATGAGCTGCGGAAGCGAATCGACTTGCTCGTGCCGATATTTAACGCTCCTATTATGGCCAACTGCGACTTACCTTCGCATATCGAACTGCTCGGTTCACGGATGTTTTCACACATAGCGTCATTCTCCCTTACTTCCCCACCGTGTGATACAATTCTCGACTGCGTCCCCATCGATTGAAACCGCTCGAATAATATAAACGCAGCTCCACGCACCCTAGTACCAATAAATTTCAGCGGAGTCTCGTGGTGCTGCATAACACGCTTCCTGCGCACACCGTTTGGATTAGGAGCCCGGTCATATAACCTCTTCACCTTCAAATGTTAATTTTTCGCTCCCATCTTTCTTGGGTATGTATATAACCACCATTGACCACATTCTTTTACCTCTTGTTCTCATATTTTTCTGTGTTTACGATCCCCTTTAGACTTTCTTCCTCAACTAAGTCACTTCGTTGTTAACGCAGTTCGGGACAGCTATCCTCAGGTTACTGTACCAGCATGTCATGTACATAAACAGCGGATATTCAGCTTTCTTGCATAACTTCGTCCCGGTTAATTAACGCATCTCTGTTTTTTTCACTAAAACATCAGCTTTACATTCTCATAGGATGATCAATAACTACGCATACGTACCGTCAATTGTACGCCGGTGATTCGCAGAACAGCACTCCCGTTATGTCCCATCATTAGCTACCATCACTCATCGCACCCACCCACCCACCGGGATGGTTCGCTACGCGTGTGTTGCGGGGCAGTGGAGCAACTTATTGCAAGCATCACTCTCAATGGGATGTCATTGCCGTCTTGGAATTAGGCTTAATTTAATCTTAGCAAGTTCCAAAGTGCGCGTAACACTGAAGCGTCGTCTGAGAATCGACCACGAGTGATGGTGATCAGCGAGAGCCCAAATATGAAGAAAGTCAGTGAAATCAGGAACATCAATGTTCCTTCAACTATTTCACTGTAGTGATTCAGGGAAGGCTCCTGTGAATGAAACAATAGTTGAAAAAGATAAAACTAATTTGTTTGATCTCATCAGATGGTGATAGCTGGTATCGAACCCGAAGCCACTGGGATGTTAATTTGTGACCGCTACCCCTAAGCCGCCAGATGCTATTTGCCAAATTTCGTGAACTTGATGCAATAAACCCATATTGCCATCAATTTTGTTACCTTCATTCCTTATTCGTTAAGTGCTTAGGATCTATGATTTTTGTTCAGTACACTTTCTCTTCCCAGGAAAAGAAATCAAGCGAACTGAGGTCTAGTGCTTAGTCTGTGGAGGCAGAAAATCCGTTAATGATTTTGTATTTTATTTTAACGTAATAAAAAATACCCAATTATTCTGTGTCCAGACTTTACGAATACCCTGCAGAATTTATCCTTGTGAGGGTCCGCAATGAACAATGAATTTATACGGGTTAAGAAGCGTTGCTTTACAAGTCCCGTTGGATAGTTGGTGGGGATATCAACATAACAATAATGATAATAAGGATAGTAAAATAGTTAATACATTGAATATGAAAATAAGGACTTATCGTTTGCTTCGTTGTAGTCCTGCGATCCTCTTAGATTCACAGCACCCACAGTTAACAACAAATAATTCCATGGTAAACACCAAGTGTAGGATGGAAACGTAGTGTTAAGTAACAAAGTGTAAGTGGATGAGTGCATCGTCCAACCGTCTTCTAAATACTGTTAGTATCGGTGCAGAGATGACCGATTCTGGGACAGCATTCCACGGGTGACAGACACGAATGGAAAAGAAAGTTCTGCGGCACTCCAGACGACTGCATTGTTCTGCGAGTTTTAATGAGTGGCCCCTCAGGTTTGTATTGCTGCTGAGTTGTAGTAAAGGGCGGCACACATGATGTGGATCTCGCAGAATCAACTACAAAGTCGCCTCGTAGTCTGCGATAGCTTCCACTGAACAATCCCAGTCGTTTCAGCCTCTCCTGGTAGGAAAGATTGCGCATTCCAATTACGTCCTTAGATGCCCGGCGTTGTTGCTGCTCCAATGCATTAAAGTCGTGTTTCAGCCATGGATGCCAGGCTTGAACTGCGTATTCGACATGGGGGCGAACATACGCACTGAGCATTTGTCGAAATATGGAGCTCTTTATTTGTCCGAATGCCCGCCTCAACAGCACGACGTGTTGATTCCCGGTTTTCGAGACCTTTTCGGATTGCCTGGAACAACCCAAGTCATCTTGAACCAGGACATCCAAGTCACGTTCGGGAATTGGTTGTTGTAGTATATTCGTTCTGAGTCGGTATGAGTAGCTGCTCTGATGTCGGATGGAAAGCATCCTGCATTGACTGACGTTGAAATGCAATAAGTTTTGGGTCGACCATTGATACACCGTATCTAAATCACCCTGAATCACATGTTGGTCGGCGTTCGCCTGGATCCTGTGCCAGATCTTGATTAGAAAGTTTGAAGCGATTCCCTGTGCAAGGTCATTAATAAACACCAAAAACAAACGTGGACCTAGAACTGAGCCTTGCGGCACACCACACAACTTGTATGGGGTCCGATAAAAAGCTCCGAACTCTGACCAGTAATTTCAGTGGAAGTAGAAAGTTGGCGATCCAGTTTAAAGGAGGGTCGCCGATCCCGTAATGCTGCAGCTTGGATAGTAGTATCCGATGGTCTAGACGATCGAAAGCCTTGGAAAAATCCAGGTAGATCACATCAACACCTCCAACGTCAGCTGCCTCGGTCCAGCTGTCGACGGAAACCGTGCTGCTCAGGCCTGATGATGTTGCAGTTTTCCAGATAGCACACCAGTGCATCGGCAACTATGGATTCCATTACTTTGGAGAGTATAGGAAGAAGGGATATTGGGCGGTAGTTGGATGGATCAGTTCTGCTTTCACTTTGTGAATCGGGGTTATTATTCCAAGCTTCCACATGGCGGGAACTTGGTTCTGGTCTAAGCAGCGCTGGAAAAACTGAGGTAAAAGTCCTGCCAGTTAGCTTGCTGCTGCTTCCAATGCCTCCGGACGAATGGTGTCGACGCCCGGCGAGCTGTGTTTGCGTAGAGACGTCAGCTTTTGCAATACAACCACTGCGGTAACATTGATGTGGGTTAGTCCTGGCAAGGAGAAGACAAAGTTTGGTAGATCGCTTGGTGGCAAGACCCTTTGAAACGTGGGGGCGTGTTGCATCTGCAGCACGTTTGTTGCTTCCACAGCCGTTCTTGTTGGGCCATCAGCCATCCTGAGTGGAGGAAATCCTTGCCTCATCTTTCGTAGGCTATTAACGTGCTTGCACAGCAGTTTGTGGTTAGCGCTGAAGGTTGTTGCGATGTTCTGCTGATAGGCGGCTTTGTCTTCTCTTAACAGTTGAGTGCAGTGGTTACTTTCGGCTGCGTAGTTGTCCCAAGTTTCTGGTGCTGGAGCTTCTCTGTACACTCGCCATGCTGCGTTGCGTACTGTCATCCATTTTCGAGTTCTGTTCCTAACGAAAGAAACTGATTTGTACTTATTGCAAGCTTTTATCTCTGAAGCCTGTGCAATCAGCTGACTGAATTTGTTGACGAACTCGAGCCAGGCGACTTCCGGGGGTTCTTCTTCGAGGAAAGACCAAGTTGTAGCGCTGACTAGCTGGGCTAATCGATCGTAGCTTGTGATGGTTCGCACAGTCTCATCGTTATCATTCAGATATTTTGCATAGCAGACGAAGTTGAAACTGATCACGGCGTGATCACTGCGACCCAACGGGCAGTCTAAAACCAACGCATCAATCATATGCTCCTCGTTGGTAAGCACAAGATCCAGCACAGATGGCTTGTTACCGGTTCTGAACCGAGTGGGCAAAGTGATGTGATTGTAAGGAGAAACTGTAGTTACTAAGTCTTGTAGATCGGCTTTGAATTTTTCTCCGATCGTGGCGGGGGTTTCTAAACAATGTGCCTTGAAATCACTCATGATAAGAATGTGAGTGTACTTTTGTTGTAAACTGCACCTTAAAGCAACCGCTAGGTGGTAGTCGGTTTCGGGTGTTGAGTTAGGGGCGCGGTACACCAGGACAATAAGGCAAGCGTCTCTGCCTTTTAACTGCAACCGCCACCAAAGAGAGTCGGGGAACTGCGAATCTGAATCCTCCACGGCTTCGCACTGTAAGTCGTTTCGGTAGTACAGGATTACCCCTCCTCTTTTAGTGAACCTGTCGTTCCGGATCAGCAACATGCCGGGTAGCGAAACTTCAGCGTCCGTCATTCCCGTGCGTAACCACGTCTCGGCGAAACCAGTGGCATCATACGACCCAGAAGCTTGGCGATCTTTCAGTTCAGCCAGTTTGTTAGAAAGTCCCTGAGCATTCGTATACAAGCAGGCCAGTTTCTCGGTCTCTAGGAGCCCACGGAGGAGTGAAGCGGTCACGTGTGGGATAATGCCGATCGATGGGAGGTCGACAGTTACTCATTTTTTGATGGGACAATGATACCTCGTTCGCAACTTGATTCGGCCAAGGTGCGTCCCAACCTTCGTTTAGACCTACGTCAGAGTCAATTAAAGCAGCAGTCAAGTTACGCTTCTGTACATACGTCGGTATGCTTGCTGCTGCAGTTGCTTTAATATTTGAGCTGTGCAGTGTTTGCGACCTTTAACGGAATTTCGGAAGGAAGATGTTTCCGATTTCTCCGCCATCGATCCAAAACATCCTTTGCTTGTTGCTCTGATTGAACCACAAGTTTTAGGATTCTAGGGCCGCATCCTCTATAATTTGGTGAGAGAGGTATCCTGGCGAGCGATAGTGCCACAATACTATCCAAAGAAAGTGTTTCACGAATGAACCGTCACTGTTCTAAATCGTGCTTTTCGGTCTCTTGAACATCATTAGAAGGATGTTCTGGCACGCCATGTACGAAGACTGTGTTTAGGCAGTCTTGCTTGCTGTGCCCCTCTTCGGTGTTTCTTTTTGATTGTCGCGCGCTCCAATGGACATCAGGATAGATACGTATCCCATAGGATCCGCGCTTGCGGAGAGCCAAACGTTTTCTACGTTGGTGGAGGATTCTAATGTTACTCGAATAAGTCTGGGTTCTCCATAGTGTGGCGAGTTCGGATGACGAGTAACTCGTAACAAGCTTATGGGCTTGGCTTTGATACTCATCTGCATGCACAGAGTTCCATTGGTCTTGGTCGTCTGATAACTTATCCCGCAATGTGATGGCGGTAGATTCAGGGACATTTGAGCATACAACAGTCCGGGCACTGTTGTTGGATCCCTTTTTCGTCGATCTACAAGGTATGGTACTCGTTTGTCCTGACTTGTTGACAAGTGTTGATTGTTTGCTGTTTGTCTCTCTATTCGCGTTAACGGTGTTTACAATGGAAGAGGCCGCAACGGCGGCCTCGGTGGACCCTTGCAGCAATCTCTGCATATGTAACCGATGTTCTGGGAGGCTTAGTCTCGACAAGAGATATTTGAGCTACAGGTACCAAGGGTTGGTGTTTGGCTGCTTCATCCTTGTTAATGCTAGATGTCAGGTCTAGTGGAATTTGCTTAACCAGACGTTTTGAGTGGTGCCTGATTTTCGTTGACGTGAGTACTGTTTGATTCTCGTAGGTACGGTCTGTTTTCGCCCGGCGTTCTACCAAAGTTGGAGAAGACAACGGAGATGGAGAGGTGGCTGATTGCGGTTCAGGGGAAGCGGATTGTTCAGCATTCCGTTGCTTAGAAGCCGCTACGCTTCTGTGGTGCATACTCGCTTCCATTGAAGTAATCTTATCGTTTATCCTCTGCTCTGCTTCTGTGGATAACCGGTCGCCTTTCTCAGCTAGGATAAGCAAGCAATTAACGAGGGGGATAGTGAAACACGCAGGCCAGAACCAAATTGCATCATGGGAGCTATTTCGCTCCCGTACCTGTTGTTGGGACACATTTGCACATTTCGTATGGTACCAATCCAAACAGTGCGAACAAGCCAGACCTAATTTTACTACCGATGACATTCTCCTAACCCGCAAATCCCTTTCGATGGCAGTCCTCTCGGTTTCGCCTTTCTGCCATTCCAATTGGTGTCGTTACCTGACCCAGTGGGTTGGTTAGCGTTCTGTACTTTTACAGCTTTGAGAGCGGCGCACATCGGTCAGGCGAGCGTGGTGGTTGCAAGGTCAAATGAGCGGTCGGCGTGGTCGCGCGGTCCGTGTGATGGGTTATGCAGCCGCACTGGCTGACAAGGTCACAAGGAATGGCGAGTGACTGCAACCTGAACAGAGCGCTGAACACAGATTCTTTCACAGCTGTGTTGAGAAACACTGGATCGGAGTAAGCTTAGGCTTTTCGA